CTGCACGGAACCGGGGCTCCGCAGCGGTGAGGGGCTCCTGGGTCCGCTCGGTGCCGCATGTCCCCCACCCGCCGGGGACAGGCTGTCAGCCAGGAGAGGCGCAGGGACAGCAGGGCTGCGTGTGCCCCGCACGGCGCTACCTTCGGCATCCTCCGCACCTCCGGCGCTGGAGGCGGCCCCGAGCCCCGTCGGTACGGGCGGGGCCCGGTCGGGGCTGGGCTCTCACGTACCGCTGCAGCGGAGCGGAGCCCGTGGGAGCCCCCGGGAAGAGCGGGGGGCCGGTGGGGCGGGACAGAGCCCTGGGCTGGGCCGGGCTGAAGGCGGCGGGGACTCCCCGGCTCTCCCACCGCTCCGCTCCGCCCCGCCGCATCCCCGCCAGCATCCCCGGGGGCCGCGGCGCCGCACGCAGCGGGTCGGGCGGAGGCCGAGCGCCGTAAGGGGGTGAAGAGAGGGGGGACCGGGGACACCCCGGGGGCGGTCCGCGGCCCCGATCCTGCCCCGGGGGCCGAGCCGGGCTGGCCCCTCCTCCGGCTCGGCCTCCCGCGGGGCGGCGGGCCCCGAGCGCAGAGCGGCGGCGGCGGGGCGCTGCCGGAGCCCGCTCCGCCGGGCCATGGCCAGCACCGGCTCCGCGCCCGGGAGCGCGGGCCCGGGCTCGGGCCCCGGCTCGGGCACGACGCTGCCCACCCGCTTGCAGGAGACCGAGAAGCTGCTGTCGGCGACAGAGGGCCGGGAGGAAAAGGGCCTCCGCGCCTCCAAATCCTTCACGGCAGCCTTGCCCGGCGAGACGGAGCGCAACGGGCACGGGCTCGGCTACAAGTCGGTGTCGGTCGGGCACCTGGAGGCGCCGCCGCTGTCGCCGTCCCGGCTGAGCCTGGGCAGAGCCTCCTCCACGGCCACCAGCACGGCGGCCCCGGAGCAGGGCCGCCCGCGGGACTACCTGGTGCTCGCCATCTTCTCCTGCTTCTGCCCCGTCTGGCCCCTCAACATCGTGGGCCTCGTCTTCTCCATCATGGTGAGTGCGGGACCCGCCGGGCGCACGGACCCGCCCGGTTCGCCCCCGGCTCCCCCCGCCCCGACGGCCGCGGCGGAGCTGTCCGCGGTGCTGCACCACCGGCACCGGCACCGGCACCGGCAGCGGCAGCGGCAGGGGCGCGGCGGGGCGGGAGGAGCCCGCACCGCTCCCGCAGCGCTCGGCCGGGCTGTGCCGCCCCGCTCGGCTCCCGCAGAGCGCTCCGGTGCGGGTCCGGGGAGCGCGGGCGGGCGGAGGCGGGCGGGGAGCGGCGCCGAGCCCGGGGCAGAGAGCGGGGAGGCGGCGGGATGGAGATGGAGATGGAAAAGGAGGCGGCGGGATGGAGATGGAGATGCGGGGAGGTGGCGGGATAGAGATGGAGAGGAGGGTGGGATTCCAGGGCAGGGCTTCGGGCAGCGCGGTGGCTCCGGGAAGCGCGGTGGCTCCGGGAAGCGCGGTCCCGGCCGCCAGGCAGCGGTCCAGAACGACTCGCCGGGCTTTCCCGGGAAGGTGCTGCGAAGCGAAGAGCTGACAAGGGATCTCCCTCCGCCCCTCCTAGCCCAGCCCTGCAGCACTGGGGAGACCCTGGCTGGAGGCTGGTGCCTGGCCTCTGGCACTTCAAAGGGACGGCTGCACCTGCAGCTCTTTTAGTTGCCCTGCAGAAGCGATTTTTCTCCATCGAACGGTCCCTACAGCTCAGCAAACACACCAAGAGCAGGGGAGAATGAACCAGCTGGCCTCCCACCCATCTCGGGTACAGGTGGCTCAGTCAGCACAGCCCCACACCCCCTTCCCCATCAGATGCCGCTCTCTGGTACACACCCAGMACCTTTCACGCCTTTGATTTGCAACAAAGGCAAACCTTTTCTTTGGAAACCAGCTCGACTGCCTGCTTACCACGCAGAAATACACTGAGGGGCACCTGCAGCCAGCGCTTCCCCCAAAACCRCCACCAACTTGAAGGCGGGCGCGGGCACCTGCCACAAAAAGCCCTCTAGAGAGACCAATTTCCATTTTGAGGAGGAATCATGGTTTCTGCCGGTGCCAGCTGTCATCTGCGTAGTACAGTTGTGTGGCAGAGCCTGTTTAGGCAGCACACAGGGAAGCCAGCCAGCCTTGTTTGGCTTTGCACTGCAAGGAGAGGGAAAGCAGCTGGGTATTGCATATCCATGGCAATAAACAAGGTCTCTCACGGGGATTTTCCAGCCACGGTRGCCCTCATGCAAAACAGATCCTCACACTGTCCCTTGCAGGCGGCGGGAGCCTCCAGGGTGTTGGGGATGAGCTTTGGGCCACACGAGCCCCGTGGAGTGGAATAATCAGTGGAAGGAGAGCAGGAGTTGGGACCGGGGTGTGGTGACTGTCACACCCGAGGGGAGACAGGAGCAGCAAGGCAAAGAGATTATTTGGTTGCCCTCTGCTCCCAAGGGCTGCCCAGGGCTCATCCAGAGCTGGGGAAGGGGAGGTGGAAGGTGCTCTCAGCTGAGCTGGTTCTCCAGGACAAGGTTTATGGCACACACAACACATCGGCAGTCAGTGCACATCCTCCGGCCCCACCACAGCCGGCCCTGCACTCCCTGTCCTGGGGTTTAATTAATTAATTACAGCCCTGTCCAGTCCTGGCCCTGCCYGCACCATCACCCCCTCCAGCCAGGGACCTCCACACGGTGGAGCAGGGTGAGCAGTGATCCTTCCTCCCTCCCCGGGGAATCAGGGAACACCTTGCTGGRTCCTCCTGCCTGCAGGAGCAGCTCTCAGGGCACGGGTGGATATTTCACCTGCTCCCAGCAGGGAGGAACCGAGCTCCCAGTGACCCCCGAGGCGCCCACAGGCTTCGRTCTTCTCCCAGAGTGAAGCCCAGGTGTGCCAGACCATGCACAAATCGGAGCAGGAACCAGGTTTTTGTGATTCCCGTCGCCTGGGGGAACAGGAGGACCTTTGCACAATGTGCTGACATTCCTTCAGCTCTGCAATTGTGCTTTTCTTTCCCTACTCAAAGCTTTTGCACATGAAAGCCTTTTTTTTTCTTTTTTTTTTTTTTTTTTTTTTTTTCTTTTTTCCCGGGTAATAAGCAGTGTCCAGAGAGGAAAGTAAATGAATGCTTTTGGGGCTTAGTGTCTCATAAATCATTTTTCAAAAGCTGCTCTCAGATCCCAGCAGGGCCTATGGCCAGAGGTGGAAAAAAAAAAAAAAAACCCTCTGCTCCAGCCCCCAGCCTGTTCCTGCTAACGCTGGTCTCATGGAAATGAGTTACCTGGAGGCTTTTCCACTGACTCTGGGATGAATTTTCCTTACCAAGAGATGAGCTGGCTGCTCTGAGGGGTTCAGGTCACTCCCCAAAGCAAGGAATGGGCACAAGGCTGGGTACCCCACAAACCCCCTGCATTCCTGCTGTGAATCTCTTCCCATCAAAGTGCAGCACCAAAGGGGGAAAGAGCAGAGGAGTCACCCAGCAGAGTGGAAAACTCCAAACAAATAAAAGGAAGTGAAAAAAATCCAGCCAGAACCACCACACAGTAGCATCAAGGGTGGTTCTGCTCAGCACTTGGTATCCAAAACAAGTTCTGTCATTCCCAAAAGATGTGGGAGAAGTCAGGCTATCCTCACCCATTTTAAATGCCACAGTCATCTGTCTAACTCTGGAGCTGACTTWCACCTCTCTTGGAATGTTTCCTTCAGCAAAAACACCAAGGATTAATGATTTATTCTGAGTAATTGGTGGAAGGCAGCAGAGAGCATCCAAAGCCAGTTCACAAACTGGGAAGGAYTGCAGGAGAGAGGATGAGATGATTTGTCTTCTCCATCCCTGGGACCAGCGCACGGAAGTAATTGCCTTCATTTGCAACACGGCCACTTAGGAAAAAAAAAAAAAAAAACAAAAAAAC